GAGCAGATCCTCAAGGAATCCATTTCTAAACACCTGGAGGAGAAGCAGCGATCGGGAACAGTCCGCATGGATTCACCAGGGGCAAGTCATGCCTGACCAACCTGACTGCCTTTATGACAAGGCGACTGGCTCTGTGGATGTGGGGAGACCAGTGGATGTGATGTACCTTGACTTCAGCAAGGCTTTTGATACGGTCTCCCACAGCGATCTCGCAGGCGAGCTAAGGAAGTACAGGCTGCATGAACGGACTGCAAGGTGGGCGGAAGACTGGCTGAATCATTGGGCTCACAGGGTAGTAATCAATGGCTCGATGTCTAATCGGCAGCCGGTATCAAGTGGAGTGCTCCAGGCATCAGTCCTGGGGTCGGTTTTGTTCAACGTCTGCAACAGCGACCTGGAAGATGGGATGGATGCACCCTCAGCAAGTCTGCAGATGACTCCAAGCTGGGGGGAGTAATAGATACGCTGGAGGGCAGGGCTAGGATTCAGAGTGACCTGGACAAATTGGAGGATTGGGTCAAAACAAATCTCATGAGGTTCAACAAGGACAAGTGCAAAGTCCTGCACTGAGGAGGAGCAATCCCCTGCACCGGTGCAGGCTGGGGGCGACGGGCTGGGCAGCAGCTCTGCGGAAAAGGACCTGGGGGGACAGGGGACAAGGAGCTGGACAGGAGCCAGCAGTGTTCTGGGTCTCATGCAATTTCTCTTCTCTGCCGCCAGCACTTGAACTTGCTGAAATCTCTCCCAGACGGATGTCAGCTGTGTCCAAATCAACCCAGGACAGCCACAGAGGAACGGGCAGGGGAGGAGGAGGCTGTCAGCTCGAGTCTCGATGCTTTGGTGAGGCTGGCTGAACTCTGCGGTAGCTCATTTCAGCAGTGGCAGCGCTGAGCTGAAGGAAAGGCATTTTGCTGCTGTGACATAATGCTCACAGGACCTGACAACAAGCTTCCTCCCATGGGTCTCCGGCTGGTCCAAATTGCCCTGGCTTGCAGGGAGGTGCAGCGTGACGTGCTGCAAAGGAGGCTCTTGCTGGAGATGACCTGCGTCAAAGCGCTTGTCAGCATGTGATGTCAAGTGGCCGATTTCTTAGCCACGGACACGACTCCTGCAGCACCTGGCATGGACCACAGCCCACCGGTGCAAAGTGCTGTACAGACACGGCATGGAAAGGGGGTGCGAGCAATCTCCGTGTGCGAGGCAAGGAGCAAGACGTGGTCCCAGAGCGGCAGCAGAAACAAGGAAGCAGTGAGTCAGTAAATGGGCAGCAGCCTCAGTCAGCAGCCTAATTGTTGGCATGTTCTTGTGGGCATTGCAGAAAGGGAGTTTTAAGGAAATAAAATTCAAACCCAGGGGGGGTTGGAAAAGCCTCTAGAAATTGTGAGCATCGCATCATTTTGATGTGACACCCAGCATCGCCCCCAGATGCATTGGTTTTAGCAAATGCATCAGCAAAGCTATGTAACCCCATCTCCACTGGATCTCAGCGCCTCCAAGGACACGTGTGATTTACCCTGCAAGCGCCTCCATGGGAGGATGGTCTTCTCCCCATTTCACAGAGATGCAAGCACCAGGCTCATCTCCTCAGAGCCAGGCAGGAAGGGCAGACTTGGACAAGAAAGCACGTCCATGTGCATATACGCACCCACGCACACAGACGCAGAATGAAAAACATGGGAAGTCTTCCAGGGTCTCGGAAGGCCAATATATCCTTGGCCATTTTTTAGACTGTAATAACATGTTTCATGTTTACTGTAGAGCAGAAGAAAGTGTCGGGATTATGAGCATTAATGACCATATTTATTCCCAGGCTCATAAATAAAACGCAGCTTTTCCATGTGTCGTAAAAATGAAGATAAAAAAGGCACACAGCTCTCACCAAAAGGCTTGGTTGCTGGGAAAAAAGAGCATTTTCAGCAAGGGTTGCACACTATTAGACTCTGTAGTCTTACATGTGGGCCCCTGAGAAGAGGCCAGACTCCTAGAGAGGTTTCTGGGTGCTTGGCTTCTTTCCCTTTAGGTACCAAAATGTGGTTCTAGGAGCCTGACTCTCAGCCCAAACCTTCCTGTTTGGAGCTAGAGGCCTTAAGGGATATGCCATCCCACTGGGATAATCCAGGACACTTGCAGCCCAATCCAAGACCCACGGATGTGAACAGGAGTCTTCGCCCTGACTCTAGTTTGCTTTGCATGAGTTTCCACAAGACAACACCAGAAATGAGCAGCGCTACAGCAAAGTAATCAGGTAAGAAGAGTGGTCTTGTCGAAGGACCGGGCTGGAAGGAGGATACCTGGCGTATGGTCCGAAGTCCCCCGGAGCCAGCGTTTGACAGACGCGGTACAGGAGCCGTAACAAGTGTCCTTGTACGACGAAACAGCCGGCTCCAAACCTCTCCTGCTAAAGGATCATAAATGGACAATTCCCCTCATCTGAGTTGTCTCCCCCGGACAGTAAGTCACTAAAGGCTGGTCTACATGGGACAAGATGTAATACTAATTGAAAGCTGGATTAATGCCTTGTATGCATGCTCTTCTTCCAGAATGAGTGGCCTTTTTTTTTCTCCATTTTAGCTTAATCCATTTTCAAAGTCAAACTGAAAGAGAGTAAAATAAAACTGGCACTTGCATCCATACTTAGTACCTAAATAACTCACCAGTATTTCCAAAGTGCTGAGCATTCAGCAGCTCCCATGACAGTCTAATTTTGGCCTAAATATGGATTTAAGAGCCTAAATTTAGGCACCTATTTTTAAAAACTCTTGGTCCAAGTGACACGCTCCGGCTCAGCGGTACCCGGCGGCAGAACACGGATGAATTAGACTCGGGGGGACGCAGGCTGGCAATTGGGGCTGGCTCTACACCTCTCTGTCTCATGGATTATACAGGGACGTGAGAGAGGCACTGGCTCAGGGTTTGCTGCTTGCCCTTCGTATGTCTGTGGTCAGTGGGAAACTTGCACCCCCTCCCAAGGGCGGTGGAACATGGCTGTACTGGTTTAATTCTGGGTGTTAAGAGCCACATAAGATGATACACAAGTGAAGCTTGGCAGCCGGGGTGCTGCACTTGTTGACAGGACACTCAGCGCTGCGAAGTGTGGGTGCCCCTACATTCAAACCCCTGGATATTCCCTATCAAGGGACAGCATTACCCATCTTTTGTGTCTTGTGACCTGCGGCTCCTCTATCCAGATCCTATGTGCCATCGTGCGCTTGCAGTGCCCCTCTGCTGCCCGCGTTGGACAGCTGTGTAAGCAGATGGTGGCATATATAAATGTAAGAGCGAACGAGCACCGATGTGACATCGGTTGTGGAAAGAAAGACACACGAGCCTGTGGCAGAGCGCTGTAACCTCCCGGGACTATCCATCGTGGACCTCAGAACAGCTTAGATGACAAAACTTTTAAAATTAACTTTAAAAATGAATTCATTCCCAAACTGGATTGTGTTAAGAGTGGTCTAGACCAAGACTATGGATTCGTACCCCATGGACCTCGGTTAGATTTACATCTCCAATGGGCTGACTGCTCTCCCAGCATCTGAAATAGTGAGCTTCGGCTCCTGAAAGCTTGTGCTAACTTTGATTAGTTTAAGGTGCGAATCTACCCTCCCTTCTACTTGACCTCAGGCTAACACTGCTACCTACATCACTTTTCTCTCTCCTGCCACCTTACCTCTCTCGGCAGTGCCCCCTTCCCAGCTTTCTATTTACCAGCTTTGCTTGCAAGTCAGCTGCTGCTTATAGTTCATGCTATATATATTTCTGATTTAGTTAGCTTATAAGGTGCAGATCTACCTGGCCCTCTGCCTGGCTTCAGACTAATGCATCGAACTCCCCCTCTCTACAGCCTCCTGGTCATTAGGGATGCTCATTCTCTATGTGGTCACGTTATTTCCAGGCTTCCTGGCCTGGAAATCAATGTCAGGACACGGGGAACTTGATCCAGCCTCAGTGAGCAGCAGCAGGGCACAGTCTGGGGCTGAAACATCATCTACATGTGGACATGAGATGGCCATCTCTTAAGCAGTGCTGTTGATTTCCCCGATGTGTAAATGTTCCTTCAGTGTTTCAAGAATCCCTTTCTTGCTGCCTTCCTGGCTTGTATCCCCACCAATGACCCCACCAAATGAGCATCATCTGAGCGGTAAAGAGAAACCTCCCCTGCAAAGGTGAAGGCCAGTTGGCTCGACATGCAAGTCCTAACCAAGGGCCCACACCAAGCACACAGACCGCAGAGAGGACAGGACAGCAGCAATGGCCGAGCTCAGGGGTTTTGCTTCTACAAACTTGCTAACAAATCCTATTGCATGCAGATTTGCCCCCTTCTCCCTACATTTGCCTCCAAGTATGAAGCTTAACTGTGACCTGCAATTTCTGCAAAACTCATCCAAAAGCCACGAGCAGTCCTAGTTGCATAGAAGTCCCAAACATCTTTCTGTTTCTCAGTATCAGCAGTCGAAAACCCAGTAATGGTCCTGGAGCCTTGGGTCCAGCCACCTTCAAACCTTGACTATGCAGAAGCTCTCCTAATTGGAAAAAGCCCTGGCTCCCAGGGTTGATTTGCTTTGGAAAGCTGGAAAAGACCAGTTAAGGCTTGACTAGCCAGGGGGCTTTCCCCCTGTTCCTGCTAAGCTAGAAATTGTGACGAAAGAATGAGACCAGGTTGGGGTTTGTGATGGGATGCTACATCTTTACAATGAAATACAGGCTTCCCTGGAGCATAACGGGGGCTAGCTCATTACTGAGAGCAAGACAGGCCGTTAATTCAGGTAATGACTGCAGGAGAGGGCAGAAAGCCCATAAGGGGGATCATAGGAAGTCCCTGCACCTAGTGCTACAAGGCTGAGCTGCAGGGGCAAACACGGACTGCAAGGTAATAAGCCTGAGGCTGGATGGTGAACAACACCTGGGCCCTATTACAAGGGGGGCAGGGGACTGGATGGAGGAGGAGTCGGGAACTATATAAGCCTTCCTCCAGGGCTAGAGATGCAGTGTGTCCTTGAGCTGTGCAGTGAGAGGAGTCCCTAGGTACTTGGAGCTGGCAAGAAACCCATATTGGTGGAGGTAAAAGCCTCAGCCAGAGGCAAATCCCAGGTCAGAGACAGCCCATTGATGGAAGTGGGGAAGGGCCTTGCTTGGGGCTGGGGCTGGGTCCCAGCAGCCTGTGCGGCCCCAAACTCAGTGGTTATAGGCCAAATGCAGTAGCCTGTCATGGCTTGGGGACCCACGGGGCTGAGACAGCCTGGCGTGTGTCTTGGACCCTGCAGGCTGCATGGGCCACATGGAGTAATGGTAGGCTGGAGGGAACATCTGAGCAAGGGCCCAGGGGCTGAAACAAGTGTAGGGCTGGATGGATGGCTGGGTGACATCTGCTGCGCATGGCTATGGGCTGGCTGGAAGCCACATCCTTATCCCTGAAGGCAAGGAAGACTGGAGGGTCATGATTAGGACCGGTGGGGCCCAATTTCATAGAGCTAGTTTAGAGGGCCCCTGGAGAGACGAGCAGGATCGAGAGCCCCGATGGGGATGGCAACTGCAGGAGTGCTCCAGGCTGGGGGGCAAATGGGGGTGCAGAGCTGGGGCACTCCTGCCTTTGTCAGCACTCAGCCCTAAGTGCTTTGGGTTCCCGGTGGGATGCAGGGCTGCGAGGGGTGCACCACGACTGGGTTTCCCTCTTTGCTGGAGGTCTGCTCGGGGTGAAGCTGGCTTGCTTGGGGCTTTGACTTGCTTTGGTTCTTTTCTGGGGAGACTTAATGTCCTGCTCCATCCTTTCCCCATTTTTTTAAGGAGGCCTCTTCTTCTTTTGTTCACTTGCAGCTTGTCCAGGTGTCTGGATTCCAGGCCCTGGAAGGCAAAGGGAGCTTGGCATCTGCTAAGCAGCGTCAGCTAGCGCTAGTCAGTGGCTGGAAGAAGGGACTGGCCTCACTGTCTGCATGATGCTTGCACCCATTGACGGGGATGCTCTGGAAAGCTCGCTGCATGCCCTTCGTTCACGGCAGGGTCTCTGCAGGACATAAGGGAGGGTGTTGCAATGGGAAGCTATGCCCTTGCATAGCTGGTCTGGTCTGACTGTGCTGCATGTATGGCAGACGTTGCTGCTCTTGCGCTTGCTGAGTGGAGGCTCTCTCTTGATGCACATGGATTTTTTTTAACTCGTCTGTGGATCTTTACTGATGAGGAATTAACTAACAAGCAGGGCTCACGCTGGGAAATCTGTCCATAAACCATCAAGTGCTCTCAGCGTCTTTGCTCCGCTTTTGCAGCCGGCTGACGGCAGGGACCAATTCTCTACCTGGCTCCAGCCAGAGGGCAGCCCGGGAAAGGGCAACTCCTCCTGAGCCGATGCAACTTATTGACTCGGCTCCTGCTGTCCCCTGTGTTGAGCTCCTCTTGTCAAGTCATTGGGAGCATTGGATGCTCTTCTTGCTCTTTGTTTTTGTTGTTTGTTTTTCCTTCTGATAAAACCATCTTTCCCCAGCTGTCAAAAGTGTCCTTTCTGGCTCCTTGTGATCACCCACCCCGGTGCCCTCTCATGCCGTGTGGCCCCCTCCCCGGCATCTCTTGTCACAGGAACAGCCTCCAAGGACCTCCTCACTGCATCGACTCCCCAGGTGGGTTGAAATCTCATCTCAAACGCGCCTCTTACCTCCCCACCAGCTCCCCCAAGGCTGCTCTGTCCCACTAACCCTGCAGCTGTGTTAGTGGCTCTGAAAAGGGCTTAGGGATTCACGTGTGCAGAAGACGAGCCATATCATAAGGATGTGCTGCTCGGAAGTGTCTGGGCTCAGTGTAAAATCCTGGTGCCTGCCATCCCCTCCGTGCCTCTGTTAGTGGCGGGAGCACAGTTGGTCCAGCCCCAGGGTTGGGGGCAAGGTCTGGCTGGAATCAAGGACTAGGGTCCAGGGCTGAAATCGGGGATCAGGGGCTAAGTGATAAGCCAAAAGTCAGATGCTGAGAAATCAGGAGCAACAGCTACAGGCTCAGATGCTGAGCAGCTGAAGGGCTACGGCCCTAAATGTCTGGCTACCTGTTCCCAGCAGCTGACCCCTCCGAGCAGCCAGCCTCCCTAGAGCTGTCAGCAGCAGTCAAGTCCGACTTGCCCCGCTGATGTCTCATTAGCCCCAGCTGTGGCAGGCTCTGCCCCAAGGCAACTGAGGTCCTGACAGCTTCATTTCTTATACACTTCAGCTTTCAGCCTATGCCACTCAGGTGTGTTGGCAGCTACCACTGTTAGTCTTGTGGGCAGCTCACATTGGCTCCCTCGCTGCACCTTGTGTCCTGTGGCAGCATCACAAAGCCACTGACTCCTTTTCTGGGGGTTTCCTCCACCTGTGTACCAGGTCCTGGACCCCACTATCGTGAAGGCTTGGCATGGGGGAGTGGGGAGGGCATGGGAGCATGAAGGAGGCTTGCCTGAAGTGCTTTGCATTGCCAGCCTGCATGGCTTTGCATCCCCGTCCCTGCCTCCAGCAGAGCCCCTCTTCTTGACGGATGTTCACAGCTGTGCAAGGTTGGGCTTTCTGGGTGTTGATTCCTCTAGCAAGGCTGTTGCTGAGAGGTGTTTTTTGGCCTGTGTCTGACTCGTCAGTCCTCTTGCAGTCAGCACTGAAAGAAATGCCTCTGGGAGACCCCCAAGCACTCACCAGGCATCCCCTCCAACACGCTTTAAAACCTCTGTATCCCCTTCCAGGGCCTGCCTGCCTCCCCAGGCCCCATGAGGTTTATTCAGTGGATGCTGATACGGGGCAATGCATCTCCTGGGTGCAAGGTGAAGCTTTGAGTGCTGCAAGCATTAAATACCAAGCACAGTTGTCACTTGCCAGGTCCTGCTGTAACAAAAAACCTGTGTGTGCCCCCCACACACACACACTTTTTGCTTCAGGATGGGGATTATTGTGCCTAAGGAAGTATGAAGGAGAAACTCTCTCGACAATATTTCTAGCCTTCTCTGCAGGCTGTTCTTGCCACTATCCTGACGAGCGTAAATCATGTTTTGGTGTAGATCTGGACCAGTACATCTATCATGCATTTGCAGTGATGTTGGCTGGGCTGTCTGTAAATCGACCAAAAATAATGTATTTGTGCTGTAAAATGACATCCCATAATGAGATAGCAAATCACAGGTTATGGAATATTGCTATTTGTGACAATAACTAATGCTGTGGTGAGCAACTCTGCTAAGGGGCTGCTGGACATCAACTAGGAAGCCTCGCAGCCTATGCAGCCGGTACTCGGATATACCGGAGGTGGCTTCTTGGTGCTGCTCAGAGCTGCCAGGTGTCACTAACTCCAGCCCTGCCTGGGCACTTGCCCTGGACCATGCTGCTTGCGATGCAGAAGAGGGCTGAGGGAGCTGGACTTGTTTAGTCTGGAGAAGAGAAGATCTATTCAGCGCTGGGGAGGCCACATCTGGAGTCCTGTGTCCAGCTGTGGCCCCCACTGCAGAAAGGATGTGGACACATTGGAGAGAGTCCAGTGGAGGGCAACGATAACGGTTGTGGGGCTGGGGGACAGGACTGGTGAGGAGAGGCCGAGGGAAATGGGCTGATTGAGTCTGCAGAAGAGAAGACCGAGGGGGATTGAATAGCAGCTTCACCTCCCTGCAGGGGGGCTGCAAAGAGGATGGAGCTGTGCCGGTCTCAGTGGGGGCAGATGGCAGGACAAGGAGCAATGGGCTCAAGCTGCAGCAAGGGAAGTTGAGGTTGGATATTAGGAGAAACTTTCTCCCGAGCAGGGAGGTGAAGCACTGGAACAGATTACCCAGAGAGGTGGTGGGATCTCCATCCTTGGAGGCTTTTTAAGACTTGTCTCAACCAAAGCCTTGTCTGGGATGATGTAGCTGGGGCTGGTCCTGCTTGGAGCAGGGGGTTGGACTAGATGTGACCTCCTGAGCGCCCTTCCACCCTCATTGTCTATAATCATATGAAATATGAAAAAATGTAGTTTTTAAAAAAAAAAAAAAAAAAAAAAAAAAAAGCAAGCCATACTTCTGGCCAAGCTTGTACATAATTATATTGACTCCGAACACATTTATTATAGCAAACACAATAACAGTCAAATTAGTTTCAAATTCCAAAATAACTCTTATTCTTCTATGTGTAAGCATGAGAAATTATTCCTTTTGGACTGAAATCTGAGAGTTTCTTTGTTCCCAAGCCAGTTCAGATTTATTTTTGGAAAGCTTGAGGGGAAAAATTGGCTCATTGATAGTTGACTCTTACTTCTGTAAATACACACATGCACACACAGAGTCCTTGCATGTTTAATCTTAACTTGTTTATGCATGCAATGGTACAACCCTTAACTTGATACATAATTTTGATCCAACATTGCTTGTCTTGTGGATTTTGCTGGAAGCTAGAACACAAGTCGAGCTTAAGAGAGATGGCTCGAATAGCCTGCTAGTTTTGGGTACTGAAAGTATGAAATGAATTCTAATGATATAGTCCAGTGTTAGAATAATCTTGGGACACTGAAGGTTTTGTTAAATCCTTTGGCTTAATCCTAAATTTGCCAGGACTGCTAATGCCTGCCAAACCTTACAACAGCTTTCAGAAGCTCACAGCTGACCTTGTCATAAAGGAAGAGTCATCCTGCTATTCTACAGGAATCAATGCAGAACCGGGAGCCAAGAATAGCGAAACTCTCATTTCTCAATATTGCCCTCTGGGTTTTTCAGTGGAGTAATTATGCTGATTTTTAAATGGCATTTCTTTGGACTGACACTGGTGTAGGTAGGAGAAGAATCCAGCCCATGATGCACTTGGTTTCCTCTATCAAGTCAGGAAATATAATTCTCTCCATTTTCTAAAATGAAAACTGAGCCCAAGTCTCAGGACGTGATCTTCTTTTTTGACACTTAAATACATCCTTGTTGTCTCAGTCCCTTAGCCTAGTAGTGTTTCTTATTCCCCTCTACTTAGGGGTTGGACCCGATAGTCTCCGAGGTCCCTTCCAGCCCCTAGCAGTCCATGAATCGATCCATCTAGGCTGACCATATCCAGAAAGGCAGAAAAAATTTTCATGTTGGCTAATCCAAGGGGCAAGCACATGCAAGACTCCCCCTGCATGCAGTAAATGGGCCTAGACCATGTTACTTTATTGGTCTGATATTGTGGGGAGCGTTCAAGGTAACAGCTCCCCAAGCCCTGCACCTTCTTTTTAACAAGAATGACTTGAAACAAATCAGTTTTATGCCCAGGAGTGGTTTGGGTCAAGGATTATATGAGATGACTGCCTGGATAGCAAAGGCTGGGGTACAAGGGCTTCCCATGCCTGTTCCTGGGAACAAAATAAGAGCACCCCATACAGGAGTTTGATTTTTTTTTTTTTTTTCTTCCTTTTTTTCCCTGGTATGACTTGGCCAGGTCACACTACATGTCTGACAAGAGGGAGCAGACCCCAGTGTCTTTCCACGCTGGTGATTAAAGCTGTATGGCACGATGGAGATGCAGGCAGCAGGGGACTTATTTTTGCTGGCCATTTGCTCTGCCTTCCAACTCGGTCTCCGTCTCCCAATGTAGCGGCAGGATGAGTCGGAGAGATGTCTAGGCATGAGCAAGAGCGCATCTTTGAAAGCTGCCTAACCAAATAGGCATCCTGCCTTTCAGCTCTGTGGATTTGGGGCCAAATCCAGCGCTGGCAGAAGTGGGCAGAGCTCTATTGATGTCAGCGGTGTTGTCTGCTGATGCAAGCTGGATGCTTGGCTCCTGATCTGTCTCTGTGAGCCTTATTCAGGCAAGAGGCTTATAAAAATGGCGTAAAAGGAGCATTGACTGGTTTTAACATAAAAGGCAGAATCAAGCCTCTAAAGCTGACCATTTAAATCCAGCAGGTCACTGATTCCTTTGTGCTGCTCTGAACTGGCACAATCAAAACCTGGCTGGGGTCCATTCACACTCTTTTCATCACGCGCTACTTATTGGCTGAAATTCCCTGCATTCAGGAAACCTTCCCACCCACCCCTTCTCCTGCCTAGCTTATTTAGGGAACAGTTATTTTGAATAATAAAGTCCTTTTTAACAATGTTCTTGCTGAAATCCCAAATGTCAGGGATCGTGCATGAACGTACACAATCTCGGGCGCACACTCCAGTGACTTTTTTTTTTTTTGTGTCTCTGAAATGCCAGTAATTTCCACAAACTATTGTTTGCATGTTTTTCTGCCCTTAGGAGGGGGGGGAAAATTGCAGCACTGCACTCGTGTTGCAATGGCCCAAGCCACTGCAGAGCTAACGATCAACAGCCATTGCTGTGGAAATGTAGACACTTGGAGGTGTGTAGAGGTTTGCTCACATGGGCAGTCCCATAGATTGTGCCAGGGTAAGCAGCACTTGGGGCTTGTGCAACGCGGCTTGAGATCGGTGTGGTTCTGCCAGGGTTTGTGTGCGATGCACTTACAAACACAACTTATGCTTGGGGCTTAGCAGTGCAGCCTCTTGCAATAGCCCCAAAGCTCCCCTCCTTTACAGCATGCTTCAAGTCTTGGGCCAAGCAGCTCTGCAGATGTTCCCCGCGCAGAACCCACCGCTTCATTTATTGCTGGCGTCTCTTAAGACATCTGCTGTCCGCTGACAACTTTATTGCTGTGTATATGTCTGCCCAGACTCCCAGTTGGGTCGCATTGTTATAGAAACATGGGGCTGGAAGGGGACTCCTAGGCCGTTGAGCCCAGTCACATGCATTTGCAGGCAATTGTATTCCCAGTGAATCCCCCAGATTGCTCCTTCATACTCAAATTCTACCCAAAATGGCAAGAACGCCCTGTTACATGCCCCAGGGTAAATCCGGGGAGATGAGGGCACTGCCAATTGCCACTGCAAGAACAGG